ATTCATAATTATTTGGACACATGGAGCATATGAATCGTACCTGTGTTGTAGACATGCAACTCATCCACGATCCCCTCGTTCCCTCCGCCGAACACCACCATCAGCTCCTTAATGGCTACGGCCCTGTGTCCGTGCCGGGGCCGTGGGACTGGACCAGTCGATCCTACGACGCGCTTCCAGCGGGGCTGTAGCACCGCTGGCCTCCTGGGTTTGGCTTCCATTGGGCTGTTCTCTTGGTGCGCTCCTCTCGGTCCTCAATGACAGACAAAGATCAAAATTCAGTCGCGAGTTTAAAACGGTATGCGGCTGGCATTAGCCCGCTAACTAGCGCCAGAAGCTAACTAGCCGGCTAATGTCCCTGACGTTGTTGTATGGCTAACTAGCTTCTGCTACCAGGATTAAAGAGCCGCTCTGTGAGCTGCGGTCTAACCCAGATCCGTCCCCTTTTATTGGACCCACTATATAAAAAAGCCTTCCTTTCTAGATCCAGCCGCAGACTCGGGCTCAGACAGAGACCACTGGGGTGCTATCCAGCCCAGTGGGCGCTGCTTGGAGACGGGAGGAAGCCGCCAATAGCAGCTCAGGCTAACACAAATGAGCATACGGCTGCTGCGTGCAGCGCTGTGAGGAGCCCCGGAGGCAGCAGGCTGCTATCAGACACGCAGAGCGGCCGGGGCGGGAGCCGCCATCTTGCTGCTAGCAGAAGCCGCTGAAAATGGCAGTGAAGCTAGGTGGCTAACAGCTAGCAGCTAACAGACAACTTCCTGTCCTCAGTAGTAACCTCTGTATACAAAACAGTGACTTATTAGCTCCGTGAGCAGCTTTCAGTCTACTGTATTAAACTTTATAACTTAATTTAATCTGTACATTTACAATAGTGGGAATAAATATTAATTAAAAAATAATTACTTCATTTCTAAAAGTCTGCTGAAAAATTCAAAATCACTTTACAATCTGAATACAGAATCAAAAACTTTGATCAGTTCAGCCATCATCTGCTCATATAGACCCCAAATGACAGAAAACTGCTGGCAGATTCAAATAACCTGGAACTAACTAATCTTATTACTGCATTTTTTATTTATTGTGTACTTATTACAAGAATGTATTTGATTACCTTCTTAGATAATTATTTTTTACACTGGAGTTCAAGGTTCAAGGTTCTTTATTTGTCACATGCATAGTTATACAAGTATAACACACAGTATAACTATGCATGGAGTCCGGAGGCATATAAAAGATTAATATAAAAGATTAATTAAAAAAGCTAACCTTCATGTGTGAGTTTTGAAAAAAATGTGTAAAACTTGCTTGAATGACTGTTTTAAGTCATTATTTGTGCCTGAATGACTTGCAGCATTTAAACTCAGCAGTTCCAGTCAGGATGCAGAAGATCCTGGAGCTCTGGCCTGCTCTGATTGGCTGCCTCCCTGTCGGGTGACTGATGATGCTCTGGACACTGGAAAACTGACAGTTGTGGACTTGACTGAGCTGGTTGTTGAATGTTTGTTTAAACAGCATTGCTGCTGACAGGTAGCATAAATATGTTTCACCTCCAAACTGGGATTTTACCCCCTGACTGTGTCACCCGAAAAAACTGGAGGGATTCGTAAAAGGCCCAGAGCTAAAAGTGACGCCATCGCCATGCTGCTTCATCCACCCAACAGAAAAACACAAATTTCAACCTTGCAGAGAGGAAAAGCTGCAAATTTGGGATTCTTACACTTTTCAGTGCACATTATATTTAATTAAAATTTATAATTACATTAACTAAACGTTTGGCCCGAATTTAGTCAAAACACCGTAACCTTCCATCTTAGACACCTACTGGAGTGGTTTTCAAATGCTGTTTTTATGGGTGAAAGAGTTAAATATGCCACACAACGTGAATGTTTTCAACAGGACGTGACCCAAATTCTCAAGGCCTGGTGCCTCGCCTGCCTCTGCCTGATGGCCCTGAGAGTTTGCCGTCATCTACCATTAACAACAACCAGTCAAAGCGGAGGGTCCCTCCAAGCAGACCCAATATAGCACCGACGTTTTTAGATACTCAGACAGAACAACACACCCGGGCTTCTGTGATAAACACACCAGAAAACTAACAGACTAACTGCAAAATAAACACAGAAAATTGTATTAAGGAACGGTTTACATGAAGTTGTTTTTAAAAATAACTTTGTGAACACTTGGATAGCTTCACCCTGACCTCGCCCATTATATAACACGCTATATTTAATCAGCCATTTTGCAGTGCTATTGACATTCTCTACAGTAAATGTCACAACAGAGCTCAACAGCTACTTTTTTATAAGGTCTCTGTTTCCAGAATTGAATTTCCTATTTCAGGAAATCCTTTTACAAAGAGTTTTAATCCTTGAACCGAGACAACCAGCTGAGAGGTGACCTTTGACAATAAAAAGATTTCGTTAGTATTAAAAAAAAAATAAAGGAAAATGGAAAAAAAGACAAAGGTTCAAAACTGTGTACATAATTACATAATTATATAAGGAATCACTCATCACATAATTAACTGCAAATCCAAGACTCCACAGCAAATGGCCGTAAACCCCTTAAATGCGATGCTTTCATTGTTGTAGTGCTTCAATGGTTAATATGTTGTACAATAACAGTTTGAATGGATTTTTGTAGTTTGTGTTGCGTTACGTTTAAGTATCGCCTCCTTATTGATCTGGCACAGAGCTTTGCACCTGACTGCAATCAGCACTCTTGTGGTTTCTAAAGTTTCACACTCTCAAAGCAACCTGATGATCATAGGTTTAAACATTTCCATGGCAACACCGGCCTCCACCACAGATGTAGGATTATAGGTTGAACAGTTCTACCCATTCCACACAGGACATCTAGTCTATGTCCTGTAACTTTACGAATAAAATTCATTCTTGCTGACACAAGACTGTGGATTCTACAGCAGCACTATCATGGTTTTACAACACCATACGGAAGATCCTACATCTATCAGCTTAGACCATCATTGACCGGAAACTTCCAGTGTCCTAAAAATCAGGATAATCCGAGCAGCAGCACGTTTTGCTTAAGCTGAAATATTTTTCACTTGTACAGGCACATTCTCATCAGCTGCATCAAATTCACCCCATTGCCTAAGCTTTGCTAAGTATTTCATATGAAACCACCCCTGAACTGTTTGTACCACATCACCGTGTAATTAACTGTTAATTTTCTATTAGGAAAATTATGGCTCTTCATCTCACCCTATTGCTAGCACGGTCCTCCTTCACTACATTCATTAATCTTCTCTGTGGTCTTCCTAGTTTCCTCCTCTCTGGCAGTTCTATCTTCATCCTGCATCCTCTGTCCAATATAACCTCTATCCCTCCCATGCACATCTCAGCCTTGCCTTCCCTTTCAATCTCGGTTATCCTTCTGTCACAAGTTCCCAATGACGCTTGTCTGCACTTACTCCACCCTTCTTCTTCACCTCTCTTGTGCACTGTCTGTTACTTTGGATGGCTGAACCCAGGTATTTAAACTCATCTACCTTCAAATCAAGCTGCAGTTTCACTGTTACACCTTTCTCCCTCTCATTCACACACATGTATTATGTCCTGCATCTATTACATTTAACTTCATAGAGAATTTTTTACATTACTATAGTGTAAAATTTACAGCTGAGCTTGTAAAGCTGGAATTCTTTACACAGATTTGTATTTTAGATATTTATTTTTTGGACACATATACTTTAACAACATCAGTATCGGTGTTTTCACCGTATCCTGCTAATGCTCTGCTGTTTGTTTCAGAAACATGGAAATGCTTGCTGTGACCAAGTGGACAATCCAAACACAGCCAGCTGAACTCCCATTGAAACCTTACACGGGCTGTTTCACGTCGGAACAATTAAAAGCTCCGGTACACCTGCCGTTCTCCGCTTCCGGTTAGCTCGGCAGGTAACCGACGCACCTGGCTGCACTTTTATTTGCTGCTCAGTAACATTCATGACAACATAAGTGGAATCCAGCGCCGCAGCTATTTGCTAGATAATGCTAAAACCCACTGCTAGGATAAAGCTGTTAGCATGCACTCACAAAGCTAACCGGCTAACTTGTATAATGTTTTATTTATTTCGTATCTTCTTTATCACAACTGTAAATTAAACCTGGAGAAAAATCAAAACGTTTAGGAGCTGTTCTATGAGACATTTTAGATCCCCTGGGTGAAACAAGTATTTGTCCACCTAACCAAAACAAAACCATTTTCTCTCTACGGGAAGCCGGCGGGCTATCTGCCCATTCTGAGCCGGAAACTGAGCGTAAAAGCAGACGTTAGCAATTCTGCAGGGCTGCTAATGCTAGTCTACTTTATTAATGTGCTGTTAGCAGACCGTTCTCGTGCTAACCAAAGATTATCATCGTTATATCAGATAGCGTCCAACATTAGCTGAAATTACCACAAAGAGCTGCAGGTAGCCGTACGGATAGCTTAGCTAGCACAGAAGCTTCATTAATGATTAGCATCTGCTAAGTTAATAGTGGTTAACTGATGGAGCTTTCACCAAACTTCCTGTTAAAAATGATTCTTTAGCCCGCGGGCTTGAGTAGCTCTGGAACGGTTAATGTAGCTCAATAACGAGCTTGAATAAGTAGCTGGTTATGCTAACGGCTGTTAGCACTGACGTCCCTTCCCTCAACAAACATGGCGGCAGTACCGTTAACCGCTCAAACAGGCTGAAAAGTCGCGAGTAGCATTCGACCCGGTCCTGCCCGGTCCGATCTGGAGTACTTACTCACTTTGCGGATTCTGTCGTGTACAGTCAGACTGAACTCACAGCAATCTTTCAGTAGCTTCAAACGCTCATCTTCATCTTCGACATGCCGTTCAAAGAGACGCCATTTCCTCCCCAACTTCACGGCGCAATAGCGCACCCCTCAGGACATACACAAACACACAGCTACAGTCTTTCAGTAGAAATGGAAACTAAATGTCATTAAAGCAATCTAAAATAAATGAACGAAACAACTGGGTTTTAAAAACTTGTTTATTTAATTAAATTAATTAAATCAGCCAAACTATTTTTATAAACTGTCTCAAGTGAAGAACTAGTAAAACCAGTTAATTAACAATAATTATCTTCAGTGTTATATAGTTGCTTCTGTGAGTTTTATACTGTAAGATAAATGTTAGGGCAAGAACCCCGATAATCCCCTGTGAGCAAGGCTAAGTAATAGTGGGGAAGAAGAACTCAGTTAGGTCCCTCCAGGATCAGGCTAAGGGCACATCTGCTACAAGCAACTGATGAATGAAGACAGAAAAAAGGAACACTGAGAAATCAAACTTAAGCCAGTTTTTGAAGTTAGTAAAAAAGGTCCAATGTTAAAATGCCCAATTTTACAAGAAATAGAAGACATAAACATGTTTAGAGGCTGCTCCAAATCAAAAATGTTGTCATCTGATTATATTTTCTCCGTGCTTCAGTTTTGGTGACTGAAAATTTAATATTGTATTTCACAGGTAGCATTGTCTCAGTGTTCCACCTGTACAGTGTATAGATGCAGTTTGCCATCAAAGCCAGCTAGCAGTACCTGATAACATTTCACCCTCCTGTCCACATATGACATCTTCTGGCTCCGCCGATAATAAGATTACAGCTTCAAAATGCAGAACTTGTGACATCGCAGTGGCTACGTTCTGATGTTACCTTTGTCTTGCTCCTTGAACAACAACAGCCATCAATCCGATGCAGGTTTTTGTTGGCGCTCAATAACATAAAACATCGTCTTAAACTCTGCGGCATTCAAAGCATATAGCATGTACTCTGTTTTCAGAATTTTATGACACAATTACAAATATTAAAATATTTCCATGTGAATTTTAAAATTATTACAGACTAATGAATAAATAATTTCAGTTAGATGAAAATAACAGGAATGTTGCGTTACGCTGACATGAGCATCACTTGGTTTGAACCCAGTGATGTTTTTTGGTAAATGCACAGCTGGAGAAATCTATGAAACCCAGATTCACCAGCAGTCTGAAATGTGACACACCAGCAGCTCCACCATCCAGCAGTTTTTTCTGTAACATTAGTGATGATGAAATCCACAGCTGCACTCCAGAAACTGTCCATCTTTGGTCCTCTACTTTGTGTCCATAATAGATAACCGCAGTCACTTGTGTTTAGTGGGAAGATAATCCAGCTCATCGCTCTCCTCTGGTCCTCTGATGTCCCCAGAACTCTTCTCTTCATCTGATCAGACACAGGAGAAACACAATGAGTGAACCAAAAACAAACAAAACCAACAGGTATCATAAAAACTCCTGAGTGTGGTTTACATACAGATGTTTTCAGACGACAGCAGCTCAGGAGTACGAATCCTTCCTTCCTCGTACTGAGTTTTCTTCTCCAGGAGTCGCTGTTTGCTGGAATTTATCTGAACTGAACAAACAGGAAATGGATCTAGTTTCAGTTTCAGAAAAGTTTAGGACAGGTGTTCAATAATGTCTGAAGAAACTAAGGTGTGGGCCTTTAATGAGTTGCTCACATACTTGAAGGCTCTGGAGATGTTGACTTCAGGGACCCTGCAGGAGAGAAGCCGTAGAGCCTTGCAGTTGCCTCTGCCGTGGTTTGCCCTCTAGTCTCTGGTCCTGCTGGGGCCCCTCTCAGTGCTCCGGGTGCTATACTCAAACTGGTGCTATTGGGCTGGGGAGGGAAATTGTACTGGTCCTCAGTGGGCACCGAAGGCTGGTTGCACTCAACCTCTGTGAGCCTAGCTGGACTGCGATACTGGGCTTTGGTGGAAGGAGATAAAGACCTGCAGCTGGTCCCGTTTGATCTCAGCTGAGAGCGAAGGTCGTACTGGGAGAAACCTCGACTCTCGTCGGTTTCACATGGACCAGCGAATGAACAGGAAGACACAGGAGGGAAAATGGATGACGGGGGAAGAGATGATGATGAGTGAAGTGGGTCAGGAGTGGCGAGGGTGAACAAAGAGGGAGAGGAAGAAAATTTGGTTGACTGTGACACTTGGTAGGTATCCTCCAGTGGTCCCAGTTTACTCAGCTCTTTGGAAAGCTGTTGTATATTAGAGTCCAGAGAGCGGGGAGGTCTGGGGAAGGACTGGTAGGGAGGCTCCCTCACCATTTTATATACGTCCTCAAGAGATGCACACACCTATGAAAAAACAAAACAACACACTGAGGTGAAAAACAGGAGGATCCAAACAGGAGCCCTGAGGAACTCCAGAGTGCTCTAAGCAGCAGTCACAGAAGTCCAGATTAAATTAAATTGCACCACAACCAGTCTGAACTGACAGGATATGCATCTGAAGAAACTGTTTAAGAGGAAACCAAGTGAGTGTGGCTGGCTCTTACATCTTTCATTACCGGTCTCTTCCTCCTGAGTTTTGCCAGACACCTGCAGGCCAGATCCGCCAGTTGCAGGCTACCAGTAAGCTCAGCAGTACCCCCTGCAACGAAAGTGAACACAACAGGTAACAGGAAGGACATGGAGCAGGCACAACAAGGACAGGGACTGTGGTCTTAGCTCAAACACTGACCTGAAATCAGCCGTTTGTCAAGATGCTTCCTCCAAACTGCTTCAGTTGAGCCACCCGGACCTTCCTTGATGTCCTCTACCAGGTACTTCTGCAAACCAGAATCAAAACCAGGGTAAGCCCGACTCAAACAGACCAGGTTACCGGCAAGGAAAAACACCAGCCGGGTTTGGAAGGATTCTGCCATTTTCCAAAGCTTCAGATTCATCCATCCATCCATTC